CCATATTTTTATTTTATGAACGAAGAAAGCTAGCGTATTTATTAACATTAGCAATAACAACTCATTTTCTGCATTTGGATTTTTTTTATTTTAAAAATACTGAGTGAATCATTACGAGATATTAATTGTAATTAAAATTTATAAAAAAATCAATTTTTAAAAAATATATTTTAATTTGTGTTTGGTTTTTTAAATATAAATATATTGAAAAATGAAAAAAAATAGAACTGTTACATGAATTATTATATATCTTACACAGAAAAAAATTATACTTAAAAGTAATTTTGATACAAAACGGTTCAAGAAAATTTTGATTATGTACTATTGTAGATTAATAAGTTGAAGTTAAAACCGACATTAAGAGAATGAATTTAATTTTCGAAATACTGACAACAAATTTAAAATATGTTGCAATATTTTTTAACACAATGTTTGTACTTTCAATAATTTGTGATTTGTAATTGCAAATCTTATAAAGTAAAGCTGGTTTGTGTTGGGATATGCCAGAATTACGATACATTAAAGTACACAAGTATTTTTCAAAATAAACATATAGAATTAAAAATAATTCTTGCTTTATAAATTGATTTTAAAGGTGAGTTTAGTAAAACGTGATGAAACAAGTGTTTAGTAGGTGAGAATAAAATGTTATAAATATCACTTTTTTCGTAAAACGTGATGAGAAAAAAATTTACAATATAATTCATCATGTTTTAACCTTTTTAAAGATTAAAAACCTTTCACGATTAATAAAAAGAGGATGTGGTATTAATCAATTGTAAAAATAATATAATAATAATGCTTTTTGATTAAGAAGAAAATAATGTTCACTCCATTTTTCACTTTTTTCTCTCTATCTTCTATTTTTTTTTTCTCCTCAGGATAATTGGTGTTTATAAAGCTTAGATTATTCCAAGAATAAGAAATATGGTTTTTGTTGGGCCAGTAAGTCTAAGCTTTTGGGCCGATGTTTTTATTGGACAGTAGATGGGGGCCATTTGGCAGACGGTGATGATGGTTGAACACGAAGAGGGGTTTGGGGAAGATTGTTGAAGATGAACAAAAATGGCGTCATTCCGTGGATGAGGCAGCAATGGCGGGGCATAGTGAAAGTGCGTTTGAAATGGGTGAAGAACCGAAGCCTCGACCACGTCATCGACAAGGAAACCGATCTCAAAGCGGCCTGTCTCCTGAAAGACGCTATCAACCGCTCTTCCACCGCCTTCCTCACGGCGAAATCCGTGGCAGACTGGCAGAAGCTCCTCGGCCTCACCGTCCCCGTCCTCCGCTTCCTCCGCCGCTATCCCACCCTCTTCCAAGAGTTCCCGCACCCGCGCTGGCCCTCCCTCCCCTGCTTCCGCCTCACAGACACTGCACTTTTTCTCCACTCCCAGGAACTCGCACTCCACCAAGCTCACCAAAACAACGCCGTCGAACGCCTCTCCAAGCTCCTCATGATGACCCGCTCACGCGCCCTGTCGCTCTATTCCCTCCACTCGCTCAAGTGGGACCTCGGCTTACCCGACTCCTTCGAGAAAACCCTCGTCCCCAACTTCCCTAACGACTTCCAGTTTGTCAAGTCCAACGGCGTCGTTTCGCTCAAACTAGCACGATGGCCTGAGGAGTTCGCTGTGTCCGCGCTGCAACAGAAAAACGAGTGTGGGACCCACTACCGGGAATTCAAGCGGGGACAATCGGCGTTGGCTTTTCCGATGAAGTTTCCCAGGGGTTACGGCGCGCAGAAGAAGGTGAGGACGTGGATGGAGGAGTTTCAGAAGCTGCCTTATGTTTCTCCCTATGCTGATTCCTCCAAGATTGATCCCAACAGCGATTTGATGGAGAAGCGCGTGGTTGGGGTTCTGCACGAGCTTTTGAGTTTAACTCTGCACAAGAAAACAAAGAGGAACTACTTGAGGAGCTTGAGGGAAGAGTTGAATCTTCCGCACAAGTTTACCCGGATTTTCACTCGGTATCCCGGCATTTTTTACCTCTCATTGAAGTGTAAAACGACCACTATTACTCTCAGGGAAGGTTACCAGAGTGGGAAACTGATTGACCCCCACCCTCTTGTCCGACATAGAGATAAATTCTACCGTGTCATGCAGACGGGGCTTCTCTATCGCGGGGATGGGTCATTGAAACACGACGGCAACAATTCGTTGGTCGAGAATGATGAGCTAAGAAGTGAGGAATCCGGAGAGGAAGAGGTTGAAACGAGTGATGAATTATGTGAGGGTGAATCGAGTGATGAACTCTGCGAGGGTGAAGCGAGGGAATAAAGTTTTTGGGTACTGAATTATTTTTGTATGATACGAGCAACGTGTATTCTCTTCAAAGATAATTTATTTACTCCTCCGGTTAGTAGCTCTGCTCCTTACTAACTTGTAACTAGCTTGATTGCTTGGTTCTGTTATTACGTATCAGACTGTAAGGAACCTTTTTGAAAAATTTTGAACTGTGATATCTGTCGTGCTATTTTATAGTTGTTCACATAACTGGGAAAAGGGAACATAGTTCTTTTAAGTTAGAAACTTGCAGACATTGAGTAGCAACCAACTTTGTACATTGTTAACCATGTCATACCAACTGGCTTCACCATTTTTGGTTAATGTCTACTAGATAATAGTGACATTTTGGTGGTATGGTTGCATCTCTTTGAGAGTTGTGTAGTAGTAAACTTAATTGATTTACATTTCTGCTCAAGTCGGGTTCTGCTTTTATGGATTTGTGTGTCTGCGTTTTTCTTAATTTTTTTGAGAAATAAACCATGCTAGTATGATAGAGAAATGAAATATTTGGTATTCAATTTCACAGTATGATTGAAAACAACTAGGACCCATATACCTTTATTGATAATGCGAATAGAACTCTACATCCATATAATCTGCTTCATTTCTGTTAAATATATACTAGTGCTATGTCGGGGAGAATTGGCTTGTCTGCTGACTATTGCATGCATCATTAAAACAAACTCTAATGAACGAAATTTCTTTTTAATTTAGGTTTGCAGGAAATGTTATAGGAGTGTTAAGAAGATAATTTTTATCAACTAATCATGTTATTGTAATCTTTATTTTTTCCAGTCTGGGTATATGTCAACCAGCAGTTACATTTTGATTGAGTGAAAATTTTGAGTTAACGGATGACAGAAATTGTAGGATATTTTTCTCTGTTGAGAATTTTTGCAACAAGATATTATGGTGCACTAGGTGGCAATATACTTAAGGAGCTTAGAAACCGAAAAAGAAAAAAAAAAAAACCCACCTCATCTTAACATTGCAATTCATTTTTTCACTTAATCACTTGAATGGCCTTATTCAAAGGAGGGATGACCTCACAGTAAGTAGGATATACGACTTAAGGGCTTTCTTTCTCACCTCCAACCACTTCCAAATTTTACTTTAATAATGCCCTTCCATATATATATGAGCGTATATATATATATATGAGCGTGTGTGTTTATGCCCGTGTGTATGAAATGACATATTTAGTATGTAAAATATGGGGATGCAGAAAGAAAAATTGGAGGTGCATGAAGAAAACACCTTTCGTTTATGAATCTTAAGGACTACATAGGTTTGGACTTTGAATCTAGTAATCAAATCAATAATGAATTTGAGTGGCTTTTTTGTATGAAAGGATTGATGCTGATAATTTATGAAATTCACATGTTTGGCTACCTATATGCGGTACAAGTTATACATGTTGCACTGTATGCTCCAAACTTTTAACAAAATCACCCTAAAATTCTAATCTCC